GTTTATGAGGGGTAGAAGGCAACTATTATCTTATAAATTAACAAGAATTAAGCCATATTGCCTCAAAATTTGAATACAGTATAGGTGATAGTGTATTGTTAGTGAATTCTAAACTACATCAAGTGCAGGGGAGATGCAGGCCATTTGTCTACAGATTTTGTCCAGCTTCAGTCAGGATTTTATTTTAGTGTGCATGTTTCAGGTTTATTTAGCAAGGTTTTGGTAGCATGGGAGCTGCAGGGCTGGTCTCTGTTAGAAGATATGAGGAGCTGCCCCATGTTAGATCAGAGTCAGTTCCAGGTGGCTCTGAAAGGGCCCTGCCACTGGCCAAAGCTGGTCTCACCAGCTAAGGTGTTTGCACCTCTGTGAAAATATACCTAAGAAAGAGTGAAAAATGATGTGTGGTGGCACAGGACTTGAGAAAACGTGAGAGAAACAGCCTTGCAGACCCCATGTTCAGTGAGGAAGGAGGGCAGAAGGTGCTCCGGGCATGGAGCACAAGTTCCCCTGCAGCCTGTGGAGAGGCCCCTGGTGGAGCAGGCTGTCCCCCTGCAGCCCATGATCAGATCTTTATGCTGCAGCCCGTCAAGGAGCCCCTGGTGGAGCAGGTGGATGTGGCCTGGAAGAGGCTGAAGACCAAGCAGAGCCCCCACTGGAGCAGGCTCCTGGCAGAATCTAGTTTAGAGGCACAATTAGAGATGAAATACTGCTAATAATTTCTGCAAGTAAGTTGAAGTCTGTGCAGTTTAACAAACTTTAAACTGTTGTCTAAGTTTAACAAATTGCTGCTGATTTGTTTTATGTGCTCATCAGAAGTATTTGTTAATGAGATAACAAAGTTCTGGGTAATTTCTTACAGCTGAATTGATATTGCCTACTTGTGAGAAAAATGTTGGCTTGCATGGGAGAGGAATTCTATAATCAAAGGATTAAAATTTTCAGGAAACTTTAATGTCCAATGATATGCCAAAAAAAATAAAATAAAAATTAACCAATTTTATCTCAACATATAAACTCTAACTGCTTATCTCTTTTCTGGATTCATTCATCAGTAGTTTGTGTGTAGTCATCCAGCAGACAAGAAGATCACCGTAATACCTTTAATGGTACAGGATATATACATTAATTATGGTCTAGTCACATTTGTAATTACCAAGTTCTTCTTTCTTGACTTTCTTAAAAATTGAAACAGTATTTGCTAGCTTCCAGTCAACAGGGACCTCTGCAGATTCCCCAAACCATAGAAAAATAATTGAGAGAGGTCTCATAATGACATCAGCCAGCTCTCTGAGTACCCTTGGATGAATCCTATTGGGCCCCATGCATCCAGCTGGAGTAGCAAATCCCATACACGTTCAGAGATGGTTCGGAGGTTATCATTCCCACAGTCATGGTCCTCCAGCTTGGAGTTTGAGAATTAAGGAATTAAAATAAGCATCTGTCTTTCTAGAAGTGAGGGTTATGTGATGCTTTACAAATATGGAAGACAGGGTCCTCATGCTGCAGTACTTAAAAATCATTTTCCCTTTGTGATTGCACAGATTTCTTCAGATATATGTGTAAATTGAATTTCGTCACATTATTGCCCTGTTGCTTGGTGTCAAAAAGTACTTGCACAGTTCTGACAGCCATAACCTTACCAGAAAACCTAGGTGCTACAACAGATCTCTGCAGAACTGTATTTGCAACTTTTCTCCACTGAAGTAGTTAATCATTAACTCATGACCCCACCCACCACTCCTATCTATTAATAATTAATCAGGCTTTACAAATTAAGTCATTCTTTCAGGCTTAAGAATTCTTTTAAAAGGCTTTAAGCGACTTAGTGAGAAGCCCTTTGGAAACCTAATAGACTACCTTAGCTTGATCTTCATTGCTTACTGATCCCTTTCAAATAGAAAAAAATAGAAGTAGGAAAAAAAAAAAGTTTGCAGTACATTTTATAAAATGTGTAACATGAGGCAATCTAAATGATGGTTCATGCAGAAAAAATTGTTTTGTATAGTATGTAATCCAAAAACCATTGTTCAGACAGCTGGGTTCTCCCTGCTATGTTAATTATTTGTAATAAAAGACTTTATGTCTTTAACTAAGGCCTTAACATCCAGATGAATTCATTATGTAGGCTATGTAATAATAACTCTACATCCTAAATACACGGTTAATGAGCAGTAGGGACTTTTTATTCTGTGGAGGTAATCCATAAATATGTTTTGGTAATGTGATAAACACTTTAAATATATATACACTGGATTTGTATCTAAAATAATTCAAATATATACGTGACAACATAAGTAAACTTATGAATTATTTATTTTTCATCGTCTTTAATCATATATGCATCATGATCTACCCAATATGATGCTGGTGATTATTCCCTCAGCTCAAATTACTCTTTTTCAAGCTGTTGAGAAGCTACCACTGAATAGACATTTCAGGAGGTAAACTTTTCATTTATTTTCTTGAAGATCACTTTTTTGAAAAATTAAGGGGGGGAAAAACAATTTTCGTACAGAAACATCTTTAGTGTACACATAGGGATGTGACATTTTCACTCACAGCCTGATCACTTTGTACTTTGGTTCTCAAAAGTTTTTCCAGATCAAATCAATTTAGTACATTTCAATTTTAGTAGCAACATTTTAACTGCAGTCTTGTTTGTAATCTTTGTTTAGCTTTCTTTTCCATTGTATCAAATATTTGTTCTTTGTCCTAGATAAAATCTAGGATAAAATGTCTGGACAAACTCTTCATTTTTACAATCAAAAAGATTTAAGTGATAATTAAATTGAATTGATACAAACAGTACAGAATGCTTTGCACATTGCTTATCATGACAAAAAATATTAACCTGGAACTTAGATAAAACTGTATTTACGTGTAGTGTTAGATAAGAGATGTAAGAAAAAAGATATAAAGGGAAATGATCCTTATTTCCCTTGAAGCAGTTATACATCCATGGAACTACAAAAAATATTTGAAGGAGTGCTTCCTCTGAATTTAGATTGCAGCACTAGTTTTTATCTTGTGGATTTTTTTGCCTATCAAACTACTGAGAGTACCATATATTGTGTTTTTACCTTGCTGAGCAAGGTAAAAACTCTCACTCCCCCTCCTTAGAAGAAGGGGAGAAGAAAGTATGCTAGAAAGGAAAAAGACTCACAGGTTGAGACAAGGGTTGAGATACAGCAAAAAGGAAGAGGGGAGGAAAAAAAGAAAAAAAAAAAAGAGCAAAGGTTGTGCGAAGCACACTGAGAGAGAAAAGAAATTACTCTCTACTTCCCATCAACAAGTGATGTTCAGCCAAGCAGGGCTTCCATACGCACAGTGGATGTTTGGGAGGACAGACTTCAAAATGAGAGCCCCCCCTTCTCCTTCTCCTTCCCCTTCCCCAGCTTTTATTGCTGAGTGTGACACCATCTGGTATAGAATATCCTTTTGGTTGGTTTAGGTCAGCTGCCCTGGCCATGTCCCCTTCCCACCTCTTGCCCACCCCAAGCCCACTGGATCTTAGAGGGGTTTGAAGGGAGTCTTGGTGCTGTGCCAGCACTACTCAGCAATAGACAAAACTTCGGTGTGATACTAATGCTGTTCTAGCTACAAGTGCAGAGCACAGCACTGTATGAGCAGCTACTGGGAAAGGTAACTCCATCCCAGCCAGACCCAGTACACCACAGTTTTTTTTGGAACAAAGATATTTTTTTTTTTTTTTTTAATATAAAACTACATCTACTGAAGCTTCTATGTTAGAATGATTGGGAAAAAAAAAAAAAAAAAAAAAAAAAACACATATAAATATATTTTCAATTACAAGACTATAGTGATCTACATACAGATTGTTTAGTGCTAGTGGAGTGACACAGCATGATATGCTGTATTTTGACTCTACCTTGCCTTCTGAACCATGGGGTTCATTTATACCTCTAGAGCCTCAGATACATTTCTATGACCTTGGTATCTCTGAAACAGAAAAAAAAGCTTTAATTGTGATGATCTTTCTAATAAAAGGTGTGATTGTGATCACACCTAACTGAAATGAGACTAACTTCCTTTTCTTAACCAAAAGAAAGAGTTTGTCAGGGCATCTGACAAAGTGTTTCACAGTTATCACTGTAGGATTGTTTTCTTAATTTAACTGTGAAGTTAAATACAGACTGTATGATGAAGTCTGTATTACCCAAGAACCACTCTGAAACCCAACATACGTACTAAACACTGCTGGCACAGAGCCATGGAACATAATACTGAAGATAGCAACAAGAGAAAAGAATACAAATAGCTTGAATTGGCAGTGATGAACAGAGGGTATTACAGTCAGAAACCAGCAGCTGTTAAGCATAAGTGATGGGGGGACATGTGTGGCGCGTGGGCAGTCCCCTCCTGCTGCAGCAGCTCCTGGGTTGATAGAGCAGGAGACTTTTTTTTTTTTTCATGGTAATACATGGTTGCCAGGTTAAAGGTTGAGGTAGCTGTTGACAGAGAGCCAGGCGTGCCAGACTTAATTGAAGAAAAGCAGGACAAATAAGAACGAGCAGGATGGATTCCCTCTTGCTTTGAGCCAGCGCAGTGGAGGTGAGCTGCCTTGCAGCCAGCCGCAGCTCAAGCAGTCATGAATTAAAGCAGAGGAATAGGAGAGTGACCAAGTATCACCGACTAATTTAACAGATTAATGTGCTACGACGGCATTCGCTAAAGAGATACTTGTCTGCGCTGAAGTGCCCCTTTAGCTACTTGGGTGGGCTAGAAGGTCAAGCCAGCACCAATACAAGTTCCCCCTGCTTCCCCTGAACTGAATTCCGGGTATTCCTGAGCTGAATACGAAACGACAGGACGCTCCCTGCCCGCCCTGAGCGGTGCAAGTAACCCACAAGGATCAAAACAAAACAAAAACAAAAACAAAAAAAAAAAAGCGAGTACAACAGCGACAGAAGTAAGTTTAAGGAAACCTTCCTTGCTCCGGGGCCGCTCTCCCTGCGGCTGTCCCTCGGAGATCGCCGGGTTTCCGCCGCTCGGGTCCCGCCCGCCCGGAAGGCGCCGCAGGTGAGGCCACCGGGGCGGGACGGGACGGGACGGGACGGGCCGGGCCGGGCCGGGCAGGGTGCGGAGCCCCGGGGCCGGTGCCGCAGCGGGCAGGTGCCGGGGCTCTTCCCCCGCCATGTCGCGGAGCGCCTCGTCCCCGCCGCCCGCCGGCTCCTCGCCGCCGCCGCTGCCCCTGCAGCCGCCCCGCGGCCCCGCCGAGCTGAAGCCGGTGCGGCGCTTCGTGCCCGACTCCTGGAAGAATTTCTTCAAGGGCCGGCGCGGCCGGGAGGCCGGCTGGGGCAGCACGGCGTCCGACATCAGGTACGTGTCGGATGGGGTGGAGTGCTCGCCGCCCGCATCGCCCGGCGCCAGGCGGGCAGAGCCCCGGTCGGTGCCCGGCTCCTACAGGGAGCCCTATGGAGGGTCGGGGGGCAGCTGCCCGTCGAGGAAGGAGGCTGAAGCCATGCTGCGCGGGGACTCGCTGGGGTCGCTGGAGCAGCGTGCGCCCACCGGCATGACCTACAGCGAGCGGGTGGAAGCCTACCATCAGCGGTACGCCTACATGAAGTCCTGGGCTGGCCTGCTCAGGATCCTCGGCGTGGTGGAGCTGCTGCTGGGCGCCGCCGTCTTCGCCTGCGTGACGGCCTACGTGCACAAGGACAACGAGTGGTACAACATGTTCGGGTACTCGCAGCCCTACAGCTACGGGGCCAGCGGCACCTACGGAGGCTACTACTACAGCGGACCCAAAACTCCCTTCATCCTGGTGGTAGCTGGCGTGGCGTGGATAGCCACCATCGTGCTGCTGGTGCTCGGCATGTCGATGTACTACCGGACCATCCTCCTCGATTCCAACTGGTGGCCGCTAACAGAGTTTGGCATTAATGTGGCCATGTTCTTTCTGTACATGTCGGCGGGCATAGTGTATGTCAACGACATCAACCGAGGTGGTCTCTGCTATTACCAGTTTTTTAAGACGCCAATAAACGCCTCTTTCTGCCGCATAGAAGGGGGTCAGACAGCAGCAATCATCTTCTTGTTCGTCACGGTGGTCATCTATCTGATTAGCGCATTGGTTTGTCTGAAGCTGTGGAGGCACGAAGGAGCCAGGAGGCACCGGGAGTTAATGGAACGAGAGGTAGGTCCTGAGCAGCCGCCTTCTCTCTGGTGGGCATGGCATGGTGGGCAACACTCCAAGATCTTTTCCTGTGTCAAGGACTGGTCATATCAGGTGTGCAGCAAGCACAAAGCCTTTGAGGGTGGGCTTTCACAAATCTCAGAGCACTGAATAAAAGGTGCATTGAAGATGCCTGGCCCAAAATCTTTTTTGTTATTGACTTTGGTAGGGAAAGAGCTCTGTTCGCTTTGGAATACTGCGTTCTCTTCCTGCAGCAGGTGATGAACTGCTTCCTGGTATGTGTTTTCCAAACAAAGGAAGAAATGAACAATGTGCCTGTTCAGCTCTTTAGTAGGGTTGGGCTTAAAGCCACCTAGCATTTCTCTGAAGAATGTGCTTTCAGCATGTGAAGTGCTAGCATGAGCCACAATAAGAATATGAAATATGCATTTGGACTTACAAGCAAAATTCTAAGCTACTTCTTTTTGTCTTTTTAGCTTTGCATATAGTAGTACTAGGCAATAATGGTAATATAGAGCTGCCTAGATCTAGGTGTCTCAGATTTCAATTAATTTCATCTTTTGAATTAAACCATCTTGCATTTGCAGCTGGCTTTGCCCCTACTAGAAACTTTCAGTGCTCACCTAGTTAATGATAAACTGTAATAGTGGAGACCTAGCACTATCAGCTAGAACATTCAAAGTCATCTGCATAAAAACCTCTTTCATGTGAATGCCCCAACAAAATTTTTTTTTAAATCAATAGAACTTAATGTACCTTTAAATCTTGCAGTGAAACCTGTGAAAGCCTAATTTACTAGGGGTCATTATTTAAATGACTTTAGTAAGAGATACCATGTTGTTTCATCAGCTTAGTGATTGCAGTTTGTTGATTTGTAGCAGTTTCATTTTATGTTGTCTTTTTTTTTTTTGCCAACATCTTGCATGAAACCGAGGCTTCCCTTTTGAAAAGTGAATTGCAGATGTATGATAAAACTTTATTTTTAACAAATTTGTAAATATGTCCTTCAAGAATGAGGTGGTTGTTGGCATTAAATAGAAGGTTGCTCAGACATTCTTCCCTCTTATCATCAATGTTCTTTTATTCTAGTTATTTAAGATTTTTATTTTTTTAAGACAATACTTCTAAAGCCAATTATACAGGTCAGGTGAGAGGTTAGTCTGAAGAGTGCTCCGCAAAATAGCTGCTGGTTGAGTTACTGGTTGGCGCACTGTTGTGTTTGCTAGGCAATGAACTAGACTGCAGAATGTCAGCAAGTTAATATAGGCTGGAATGTGAAATAATCAAGGTGATTGGGAATTGGATGGAGTATTTCCTCTACACTGCTGCATACAGCTGTGCTACAGAATATACTGTGGGTTTTGGTGATTGTGTTCATTCCAACATTCTTAAATAGTCTTTAGAGAAATTGATCTGAAAGTATTCCTTATGCTAAATTTATTCATACTTGAATATAAATACATAACAATCTGTACAGCATGACTCTGGGGGTGGGGGAGGAAGTTTAAGTGTCTGTGTTTTTTGTTTTTTTTTTAATCTCATTATTGCTTAAAATAAAACATTAAAGGTCGTGGGGTTTTTTTTGTTTGTTTGTCGTTTGTTTGTTTGTTTTATAGATGAAAACACAGTCATCTTTACCAGAAAAGAAGGTAGGAAGCAAATTTATTTTTCTCTTTCTTTAGTAGCATTTCAAAGTGTGTATTCTTTTTCTTTTGACTCTTCATTTTGGCTGACCTACCAACTCGGGGAGGAGGCTAGGAAAAGATTAGGTTTAATTCTTCAATGTAGTTGGGATGGTGTTCTACCTAGAAGATTTGGAAGAAGCTTGTGAAGAAGTTATCACTCATTAGTCTAGGTTATAAAATTTACTGTAGACAGCAAATCCAATGTCTGTTTCTGTATGTGACCTTACCCTCTTTCATGAAGTGACAAGTTCTATAGCACTTATCATAGAGTTTTGCAGACTTACCTGTAACAGCAGAGCGTCTGATGCATTGCACGTTTTAGGGATTTTTTTCCCTCCTGGTTGCTTACTTAGATCAGAGAGTAGCCGGTGGAAGCACAGTAGTAGGTGCTCTGTAACTTCAGTTTGCTTCTGTGACTCTAAGACTTCTTCAAGTCCCCTTTGCAAGCTTTGAAATATCAGCAAAAAAGAGGATTTTAGTGCTTCTGCTGCAGAAAGAAGCAGGTGCATGTAGTACAGAGTTTGAATGGGATCTTAATACAAAAGATGTTGATGATTCCCAGAGAATTTCTGGTGTTTCTTTCAGTCCTAAATGTCTTCCAGTAGATACTCTGAATTTCCCACCACTGTCTTCTCTGTTGCTTACTTCAATACTGAATCAGGAGCCTTTTTTTTTTTTTTTAATGTCTTTTGCGACAACTCCATGAGCTATTATTTCTGGATTAAGGGATAAACTGTAGAATATTATGCAAGGGGAAGAGGAAAGTCCAGTTACTATATGAGAAACATTACTGTAACTCTTTCATAATTTTCTCATTATAGTAAAGGTTGTAAAGAATGTACTGCTGTTCAGTTCTCTCATTAATGTCTTCATATTAATTGAATACTTCACATTAATTGGTTACTTTATGGAGTTTGTTATATTGCATTTGAAGGACAGCTGACTTTCTATTTGGAACTAACCTTTTTTTTTCCTTTTAAAACTTAGTATGACAGTGATGATGGACCAAGAGAAGAGGCCAATTACAGCCAGCTTAAATCAGTGGAAAGGAAACAGGAACTACTTAATGGTCATATACCTGCAGGACACATTCCTAAACCTATAGTGATGCCAGACTATTTAGCGTAAGTGTCTTAACTTTGATAAAAGAACATAATGGAGAATACTCAAATGATGTTTTTCACTCAATATTTCTCATATATACGTTCATGTTTTCTGTGTCATACTGTGTGTACTGTGGGAACTCATAATTCTTTACCAATGCTGTAGACACAGCAATGTAAACAAGGAATCTGGACTTTTAGAAACAAACAACTCCCCAAACACAACCAAAATGTTAGAACACAGTTATAATCTAATGTGTAGAATAATTACCAGAGTGTAATTACCACCACATAGGGTGGGAAATCACCACATATGTAGGAAATTACTTGACTTTTTAGCCACTGAAATTTGACTAATCTTCTACTTACTCTAGTGCTAAATTGATAATATACTCTCTTTTAAAGAGCAGGCCTTTACATGGTCAAGTATGAGACCATAAATCGATTTATATACTATTTGTCATAGCTTTCAATGCTTTGCATACATGAAAATTTCAGCAGGTTACAAAATTAGCAGTCAATACAGGAATACTATATTGATGTCAAGGGTCTGTGTGTTTTTTGAAGTCATATGTCTAATACTAGTTCTTGAAAATCCTTTTTCTGAAGGAAATACCCAGCAATTCAAACAAATGAAATGCGAGACCGGTACAAAGCAGTATTCAATGATCAGTTTGCCGAGTATAAAGAACTGTCTGCGGAAGTTAATGCTGTACTAAAAAAGTTTGATGAGCTGGATGCATTGATGAGACAGCTTCCTCATCATCCTGGAAGTATATATGTAAGTACCTGTGAAATGGGCTTATGGAAAGCACAGGTAATATTAAGTAGATTCTGACTGACTTTCTTTGGGCACAACATCTAGTAACACTGGCAATGGCTCAGTAGGAGAGACAGTTTTCCCCAAATATGTTCTTTCCTGTTTGGTCATCAGTCAAGGCAGCTAAGTTGCAATTAGATTGTATTGGTGTTTGTTTATTTGTTTGTTTGTTTTTCATGCGATCAGCTTTTAAGTTGGAGTAAATTAATCAATTTATTTTCACTATTTCCCAAGTTCAGAATGTACAACTAAAATAAATCAATAAATTTGATCAACTGAGAGATTGACTTCTGACAAGCATCTTGTAGAATTTACATGAAGATTAGGAGTGTATTCAATGTGTTTAAAAATATGTGGTCTCTCTTCTTAGGAACAGGAAAGGATATCAAAAGTTCTGCAAGAATACAAGAAAAAGAAAAATGTGAGTGATTTCAGCTTTACGTTGCTCATGAATCTAAAGAATAGCAAAGAGAATGTAAATATCAGCATTTCTGATACTAGGTACAGTTTGCTAGTTCAGGGTAACCGTAGCAATTACAGGGCTTTGTATATTTTGTCTTTTAAAACTGTAGCATACTACCCACTTCATTCATGTCAACAACCTGTTTTGAGACTAATGATTTTACTAGTCAGATGTGGAAGAAAACTCTATTGAGTGTTTCAGTCTTCTAAGAGTACATCTCATCTATTAATATTCCAGAGTCCTTTCAGAGGACTGCTTAGTCTTTGGGATCCCGTTTATATACATTCACTAGCTGGCACAGACTACAGATATGTTAACAGAAAAGATAGTCTTAGCCTTCAAAAGAAGTTTTGTGTTTTCTTTGTGGCATGAAATTAAAGTGGACTTCCAAAAATAATGTCCATTGTGATCCAAAAAGTTTCACTTTGTCATTTTTAAATGCCAGCAGTATTCTATTAAAAAAGTCACACATTAAAAGTACCCTTTTTTTCATAAAACTCAAATTTTGTGTCCACGCTAAGTTTCATTGCTCTTTTGGGAAAGGGGCTTATTAGACATACCAGAACACATGCATAAAATTATGTAGTAGAATGTCACTTATATGTAGAGATTTCTGTTTAAAAGCTGCTTTGTTTACTGCGTAGCTACAGCTCATTAAAGCAAAACTTCTTCCTGTAGCCCTTCACAAAGGAACGGGAAACAGGAAGGAAATAAGAAAAGAAAGAATATGATTTTGGAGAATAATTGTATAATGTCCTTAATCAAGAATATCACTGGTAATAGACTACTTTTGGATGAAACTGAAAACATGAATATTAATATAAGGGTTTGTGTATTTTTGGCAGGATCCTGCATTTCTGGAGAAAAAGGAGCGTTGTGAATACCTCAAGAATAAGCTTTCTCACATAAAACAACGAATTCAGGACTATGATAAAGTTATGAATTGGAATGTACAAATATAGTAGTGCCTTGACCTCGGGGATACTACTTTCTGGTTTTTAAATCAATATGCATATTTTAAAATATTTATTTACTTTCAGAACTGTACACTTTCTACGGGGATAACTGCCTAATCATTTTGTCACTTATTTAGATATTGTATGTTATGGTCAGGTTTTGTATGCAGATCAGTTATAAATCCATGTAGAGAAGCTGTCAGATATGTTTAGAATACCAGTGTTAACATTCTGCTGTCATCAGCCAGTACACAGCCTGGCCTCTTAAAGGTGCATACTTTATTTGAAAATACTGTATCTGCAGAGTCCACTAGAAAAAACAGTTCTAAATACTGTATCAAAAGTGTGTATATAAATGCTGTAACAATTTCAGATTTCATGTATAGATGACGTCTTAATGGTATCAGAAAGAGTTGAGCTGTTCCTTGTGGCTGCGGTTTGGCAGAGTAATTCATGACACAGAAGTACCCTATAGACTTATTTTCTACTTGGAAAGTAGGAAATCAGTTTTATAAGACTACTGTATTTTCAAATTCTCTGCTGTATGTCAGAAGTTATCTGGAATTTCACCTAATAAGGGATGCAGAATAAGTTCCTGTTTAAGCAATGATTGTATGCTGGGTTGTGTTTTGTTTCTTATGCGCCTCTGTCAAGATGACACAGAAAATACGTGGCCTTAAGGGAAGAGAGGTACAGGGTTGGAATCATGTTTAGTGGTCCACTAGCATTGCTAGTGTTCTCTACATATATTTTAGGGTTCATCTTAGTAGGCTTCCATGGGCTTAAAGAAAAGGAAAACACTCATTTTCTTTGTCTGCAAGATACAGGACTTTTTGTTTTGGACAAGTTTTAAGATTACCTTGGTGCAAGTGTTTGAGAACTCATTATTCAGAGAACGAAATTGTTTCCCATTTGAAGTATAAATTACTAGCATCTTTTATAAGGGCATGTAGGATGTTTTGTGTATTTTTTAAAGCATACATTTTCATATTGTGTCTTGAAGATACAGGTTTATATATGCAAATCTTCCCACGAGCTATTGAGTTCTCTTCTTTGTATGCTTTTTCACATCTTTGTTTACTTTTTTACTTAGTGAAATTGTTAGAAGCATTGGTAGTTTCTTTGTACAGTTTTCTATACCTGCAATTTGACTTTTCTTAAATACATTTTAATTAAAAAAAAAAAAGGCAGTGTAACCATGTTATTCTATTGTTCATAAAGGCATTTGGTTGGAAAGGAGGTGCTCTGCTTAAGGTTATTTTAATACTTGCTTTATTGATTGTGTTTTCTTCAAAAGAAATGGTTTCAACTTTGGCATTAATGCAATGGGAAGGTGTAGGAAAGCCTTCTCCAGTTTTGAACAGTGATGGTAGTGCCAGTGTAGCCACAATTTTAAGTGTTGGAAGTGCATTGCTATACCTCTCTCTGAGTGTTAATTCCCTTTTGAGTTTTGAGCCCTTATCATTTATGATGCGATCGTGATGGCTGCAAACTCACATTCATATTTATGAAGTTGACATTCCAGTTTTATCAGCCACTTAAATTCCATGAGTTTTAGTGGATGAAGTAAATAACACAAGATACTATGGGAACAGAGAGAGTTAGAAAACTTGGCACCTCTTTATTTGAAAAAACTTCAGTCTGATCCACCTGAACAGTCTTTCAGTATTTCTGTCAACCTGAAGTCAGACAGCAGTAAGTGTTATACTTTTTTCTCCTACTTGTCTCAATTGTCTCTCCTACAGCTATTTCTCCTTTTCAATGAAGAGGAAACCTTTCTACCTTATAACAGAGCTAGGCCAAGTGTTTTATACCTATTGTGCTTTACATATGTTAAAAAATTAACTTTTGTTTATAAGCTCCCTGTCCAAGACTGCAATCTAAATGCCCTTTCACTGTACACTCAGACTTCTTGTTGTTCTCAGTGGAAATTCTGAGCTCTGTGTCAGTACCAGAAGATGACTAATTGAAGTTTAAGGATCAACTGATGTTTATAAAATGCTAAAAAAAGAAGCTGACTTTGTTTTCTGGGTAATCATAGAATGGTTTGGGTTGGAAGAGACCTTTAAAATCATCTAGTCCACCATCACGGGTTGTGAAAAGCCCCACCCAACCTGGTGGAAGGGGCATCAACAACTTCCCAGGGCAACCTGCTCCTGTATCTAATCTCCCTCATAGTAAAGAATTTCTTCCTATGTCTAATCTAAATCTAACCTTTTTTTTTTTTTTTTCAATTTAAAACAATTACCTTTTGTCCTGTCACTACAGTTAAAATGTCTAGCTCCATCTTTCTGATAAACTCCCTGTGTATATTGAAGTATTGTAATTGTAGAATGTCTCAGGTTGGAAGGGACCTTAAAAGACCATCTCCAATCCTCCTGCCGTAGGCAGGGACACCTTCCACCAGACCAGGTTGCCCAAAGCCCCATCCAACCTGGTCTTGAATACCTCCAGGAATGGGGCATCCACAACCTCTCTGAGCAGCCTTTGCCAGTGCCTCACCATGCTCTGAGTGAAGAATTTCCTCCTAACCTCTGATCTAAATCTCCCCTCTTTTAGTGTGAAACCATTCCCCCTTGTCCTATAGTTATCTGCACAACCAGAAGTTGTTCTCCATCTTTTTTTATAAGCTCCCTTTAAGTACCGAAATATTGCAATCTAACAAATCTGTATCTTACCAGTCTAAATGCAAGAGTGTTGTGGAGGAGGGACCATATCAAGGCCTTACAGAAGATTGTCTGCATGCTTAGTTGGCCTTTCTCACATAGGAACACTGAGGTGCATCTTCAGCCTCCCGTTGAAAGTGGTCTCAGTTTTGGTCTCTGGGAAACTGGCTTCTGGACCCTCAGACAGTGTTTCTGCATACCCTTTCCAGAAACATCATGCTTCTCTTCCTGCTGATTTCCCAACAAATAGGTAGGGAAAAGGGCGCACAGTGCTAGAAAAAGGGAAAAAGCTCAGCAGAGACAGTTGAGTGTGGCTCTTTCCACCGTTCCTAGCAAGGTGCCACAGGAGAAGGCGTTTACCTTCACACCTTATGAAATCCGGCAGGGCAACACTACGACCTTTGTGTAAATCGCTTGCTCAATCCTGAGTCTGTCACAAGGCCAAAGGTTGCTAAGCAGGCAGTTTCGGTGTATGTAATTGGTGAGCTGGTTTTGATCTAACCTATCAAAGGACGACTGAAAAGAAACTTGGCTACAGTGCTCTGACTGCCAAAATAGAAACAAAGACATTCTAATCTCTTGGAGAAATCAAGATTAATGAAATAACTAATGGCTGGGAGTTGAAGCCAAACAAATACAAGATAGAAACGTGGAGTAAATTTACTGAAAACTAATTACAATCATTGAAAGTGATCTCTTGATACCCTTAAAGAACAGAAGGTAAACTAGGTAAACTGTATTTACTAGATGATTATCACCTAGATCTCTCTATGCAGTCTCTTTACTCCTGACTTTGTTAATCTACATGGCTAAATGTACATGTAAAGAGTCTGCTATGTGACCTTACTAGTGTGACTGGTTTTTTTGCAGAGGGTGGTTATCATTTATTTGAATCTTAACGCGTAATATTGCTATACATAGCAAACATTCAGCATGCATTTTCACATAGGGTCTATCTCAGACAATGAGCTCATGTAGGAAGACCTTCTATGCTTCAGTCTTCGTCTGAGAAAATGCTCACCTGTCTCTGCAGATCCACAAAGGCAAAGGTCCTGCAGTTTCCAGGAACATAAGAGTTTTCTAACTGGACTTAAGTTTGAAATGGGCAGTATTCATAAACTCTTTGCTAATTTGTACCTTTAGCACTGTCTAACGAGTATAAACAAGAGTTTGCATCACATAGAAGGGCCAATTGGCTTTAATGACAACATAGCAACTAAAGATACTGGTGCTAATGAAAAACCAAATGGGTATGGATTTGAATTTTTAGTTAGTTCATTTCAAAATTGTTATGGGATTTGAAACATTTGGACTATCATAATCTGAAAGACGCATTTATAGATGTCTTGCATCTGAAAGATGCATTCCTGTCCAGAATTAAAATTCTTTGCCTTGATAATAAAAAGTATCCTTGTTCTGAAAAAAGCATAATTTCTCCCTTTTTCTGCTAGAATTGTTAGCTTGCACCTGTCTTTTCATGTTGACAATTTATAAATTGGACTTTTTCCTTCTTAAGAAAGGATGGTGTGTGACCTAGTGGGAGTAGATCAAGGTACAACTACATACTAGCTTATATTAACTTATTAAAATGAAGTTTTTTGTTTGTTTGTTTGTTTAGTTGTAAGTAGTTTTCATTGTTTTCCTTTTAAACATCATAGATTTTTCCCAGGTTTGCTTTAATTGAAAGTCAATTTCTTTCTCATCTGTTTCCTGTGTATTTATAAATTGCTCCTGATAAATGCTGCAGTCTGAAAGATACTGAAATGGTAAGTTTTGCTAAGTTCCCTGCTCCTGTTTAAGGAAATACTACTTTTGTTTAAATGTCATCTTCCTCGTTTCTTGTCTTACTTGGATGCAGAGTGACACCCCTTAGAAACGGATGCTTGGTGACTTTCCTGTAATTCAAGAGGTCAAACCCAGTTTTGGCACGTTTCCACTGTATCCAGTAAAGCTGTGATTGCTCTGCAGAGATGTTGGCTAAAACAATGTGTGCTTCATTATGATGCTTATGAAATTCTTGGTAACTTAAGTCTACCTATTTGTATTACCTACCTACAGCACATTGGATCAAAGTAATAAATAAGTGTGCTGTAAAATATAGTTTTTCACTGATGACAATGTATGGAGTAAAACCTTGCTATTGATCAATTGATTCTGCAAACCTGAAAGGGTTTGAATTTGTAGAAATAGCTGCTCAGCTATATTAATAAGTAAACTAGTATTTGTAGAGGATTTGAATGCTGAATACTTGAGTTAGGGGTGGAACAAGAAACAAAGAAAGAAAACCTGGAAAAAATAAGTTAGTCTCATTTAGGGTTTTCAGATCTGTTTCATTTAGGATTATATATATATATATATATATATATATATTTTTTTTTTTTAATAATGTATTTATTACTGATATGACATGCTTCTTTAACAACCACACTTGAATTTCAAACTATACTTGAAAACATCTATTAGCTGGTATACAGGTCAGTACATTGGCTGTGAAGTAGTCATGCTTCTTTCAGAAAATCAATACTGATGTTAAGAATAATCATGTTAAGTGCTCATTCACGTAAGGACTGTTGCTTGGCTTTGCTGCTGCTGTTTATTACTTGGATTCCAGTTTTTGCAGTTCAGGTAATCCTGAAATTAGAGTAGGAGAAACATTTTTTTCAGGTTGGAGGTCCCAAAAATAGTGCATAGTACCATTTCTGATATCATGCACAGAGCCTTACAAAAGGCTTCACTGCTGTATATTGGCTGCTTGTTCATCTGCAGATAGGTCTCCAGTTCCCACTTTCTCAAAGATGTGCTAACTAGTGCATGTTTTGTGCAGTAGTTTTGTTTGTTTGGTTGTTTTTTTTGAGTAGCTTGGTGGTTTTGTAAACTACACTTAAACAATTTAGTTTATAAATTCTTACAATTTGTCAGATAGAACTGTTTTGTTTTTACATAATTCCCTCCTCCTCCAAATCCCCTTACATTCTTCTATTCTTCTTGGGGGAAAAAAAAAAAAAATAAAAAAAAAAAATATATATATATATATATATAAGATTAAAGCTACTTGGAGTCTTTACTGCCTAGAAACATTTTTAAAAACTGTACAGTAGCTCTATTTTTCCTCTACCTCCTCTGTGAAGAGATGAAGTTTTGCACCTACAGGTAGGACTGAATAAATCTTTTACTGTGTGCTGCCTCTAAGATGGATTGATGCTGCTCATAATTATTTTAGGTACAAGCAAAACATAATCATGAAACATCAAACTGCCTGAAACTATTTACTTTTGTATTTTTTATGTCAATCTGAAAAGATTCCCATCTGTTTTTATACGTGAAACAGCACGCTTTTACATAATTACTATTTCTTTTCACTTGTCTTGTGGTAAATCAAACACTTGCAAGCTTTTAAAACTGCAGGGAATTTTCATTCCAGCAAATAATTTCAGACATATTCAGAATCCACACTGCAAGATTTAAGTATAGGTTTAGGCCTTGTGAAATTACTGGAACATGTAAAATGCCTGTGATATATTGGTTTGTCCTAAAATATTTGTCCTAAAAAATTACATATGCTCTCCTATTCCT